GCTCGCTCGACACGTCTGGAAAAAGCACCGGATCCGGCGGGAAGAAAACCGGACCCGCTCCTTATCGGATCTTCAACTTGGGAAATACCTCGCCGGTGACGGTGCCCACTCTGGTGAGTATCCTGGAGGAACATCTGAAAACGAAGGCGAAGAAGAACATTGTGGACATGCCCGGAAACGGCGACGTTCCGTTCACGCACGCGAATATCAGCTCGGCCCGGCGGGAACTCGGGTATAAACCGACGACCGATTTGCAAACCGGGTTGAAGAAGTTCGTTCGATGGTATTTATCTTACTACGGCTACAATCACGGGAAAGCTAATGTAAATTAAGCGACGCCGTTCCCTACAAATATTTTTATTGTTTTGTTAGGGCTTTTCTTTCTATTACCTCCTTGAGCACGGAAACGACGGCGTATCGGAGAGAACTGTGAAGGGGGAGATGTATTAATTTATTGTATCCAATCCGTAATCATTTTGTACAAAAGCAAGTTCCAAATTTGGCAAACTTCGAGTTTGCTACAAATGCCATTGAGGTTTTCACTCTCTGGTGGAAAAAGAGAGTCATCTCTGTGACTTTGTCGTGACCGCGACTTGATTAATTGTATTCTTTTCAAACCATATAATTACAATGACAGCTTTTCTTGTGTACCAAACTTATAATAATTTAGAATTTGTAAAAGAACTCTCTCCAACTCAATATTATTAAGCAGTCAAATCATATAATCAACTGATTTAAATGATTTATCTTAAAATTCATATTTATTTGAATGGGGTATATATATATATATATATTTTGAAATGTTTTATTCAGAGGTTTTCTTCCAGTTTTAGCTATTACCCTATCATGTTTAATATAAAATTTATGCCATTTGTTTAAAATTTAATACCATTCATATCGCACCTTCGGGTGTTGATACAGTGACAAGAGACTTGGATGTCAACATCCAAAATCCAGGTTCGAGTTTTCCTGTATCTAGAAATCAAAAAAAAAAAATCATATATATCTAATAAATTGAGATAAATAGTGATTTAGATAATTATATTTATGTGTCATATAAAAATACTATTGGGAGATCGGTTACAAACGCCGCTGTTGTGATAGTTCAAATTGGCGGCTATTGGCGGTACGCGTTTCACGGACCATTTTCCCCAGTTTTCTCTAACCTTCTTAGCCCACCTATATTCCTGGCGCAAGAAAATTTCCCCCACAAGTGCAGTCGGGTGAAGAAACGGAAACAGATCATCTTTGGATTTCTTATGCAAGCGTTCCATCTCTAAACCAATTGCGAACAAGTTACGCTATGGCCTCTGTTCGAAAGATTCGTACACTTCGCTTCTCCATCAACACATTGTCGCAGTTGCACATGACGAACTCAGGTTCTGTACATCTTCAAGATATGTCCTCTTTCTTTCGATTGTCGTCCGCCTCACCCAACTGTAAAATCTTTAACTACTTTCTTGAAATGTAGTCGAGATAGACCGATTTCTGTTTCGTTATTGAGTGATTTTTCCTTTAGGGTTTATGAGAGGTTTTAGAAGCCACAGCGCACTTTCACATCCCCAACAAAAAATCTTGAAATTCGAGATTCCTGAAGCTGATGCGGAATGTGATTACAAGGAAGTTCGAGAGATCCGGCGGGAATTTGACGCTGCTAAACTTAGCTTCCTCAAGATTCCAGAGGCGCTCAAGGCAATGCCGAAGTTGAATCCGGAAGGTTTTTTCTTATTTTTCTCGATGCTTCTGAATATTTGAAAATTTTAATCCTCATGATGTCTGATTTCTTTCTTATTGTCACTATTCACTAGGCATCTACGTGAATAAGAATCTTAGCTTGGACAACATTCAGGTGTATGGTTTTGACTATGATTACACTCTCGCGCATTACTCGGCCAATTTACAGAGCTTGATTTACGATCTTGCCAAAGAACATTTGGTTAATGAGGTTAGGCTGTGTATAATCGCATTTTTTATCTATCATGCAAAAGCAGGGTTTCTCATTGCTTATGATTTATTCGGTTCTTTCAGCTCAGATATCCTGAATCTTGCATGGAGTTCAAGTACGATCCCACTTTTCCGATTAGAGGCCTTTACTATGATAAACTCAAAGGTTGCCTCTTGAAGTTGGACTTTTTTGGTTCTATTGAGCCTGATGGGTGCTACTTTGGTCGTCGTAAGGTAAGTTGTGATACTGCTGATATGTTTACATTTCTAAGTTGTTGACCCTTCTAAATGCAATTCGTTATTTATACCTTATGGATACTATTGATCGTGCTAGATTTTTTAGGCATATCTTTAAATCCTACAGGGGAAAATAAAGCCAGATGCATATTACGAGTGGCAATCTTAGCTGTTAGTAAACAGTTGCATAACTTCATCTGAAGACGATTTGTTAGTGGACAGGGTTTGTACGTAGGAGAGAACTAGAATATTTAAATGATAATGATTTTAAGGGAGAAGATTTCATTAGTGGATTATATTATCTATTATATGAGCATTTATATTGCTAACAGAGGAAAAAACTGTAACAAGAATCATTCTACAAGAATGGAATGATAAGTACAGAGTAAAAGGAAGAATAAGTCATAAAAAACATTACCACCTAGGAGCAAGTGTCAAAAGAAACACATGAGTTAATAGTTTGAAGTCTCAAATGGCTGATTTAAGTTTGAACCATTCCCAATTATATCTGTATGATTTGAGTTGAACCATTCCCATTCCATCCATTTAAGTGATTTCTGGTCCAATTTATAATAAAATGATTTTGGCAATAATCCACTTCTTCATATGTTAATATATCTTTTTACTTCTTTCATTGAAAATTGTCTCGTAGATCAAGATTTTTACTTCTTTTTACTGGGCACGACCAAGCTCGTGGGCTTGTTGGATTGATGGATTTATTTTTCCATTATACAATGCAGCTAAGCCAGACAGAAATCAAAGAGATATACGGCACACGACATATTGGACGCGACCAAGCTCGTGGGCTTGTTGGACTGATGGATTTCTTTTGCTTCAGTGAGGTCAGGCAACTCTCCTTAACATCCCCGCCAAGTTGTTCTTGATATCGTTCATGAACCGAACAAATAAGAAACATACTTGTGGAGAAATCAAAAAGAAAAATGTAATGATTGATGACAGCAGGGTAGGCTTTTTGGCACACCATGTCAAGACCATGAATAATATCTCTCGGTGTGATGTAGGAAAGAGTCTATCACACTTTGGTTTTAGTTGTTTCACCAGGAGGCTTCTTAACCACTTACATAGACCTTCTGAGAATTGAATGAAATATTTACTATTTTAGCCTCCCTGGGACATTGTTAGTAGGAGAAAAGTTGGGCGTCCCCTTCATGTTTCTATGCTAACCCATATTCTTAGAGTTCTGATTCCAACCTCGAATTCATGGGAGTTGGACCTATTAGGCTTAGGGAATCATTTTCACGAGAGGAAATGGACTCCATACTGCACTTTCCCTACTTGTCTACATAAAGTTCTTTAGTATGCGAAAATTACAGAATTTTAAATAACTCTACATGGTTGAAACTCTAAAGTATTACTGATTGCGTATAAACTATAACATAAATTGTCTTGAATGGCCAGATATAGTTTATTTGCTAAACATTTAAGTTCTGGAAGTGCTGAAGATTGCATCCTCGAGAGTAAATTCTCTCTCTGACTATTTCTTATAAAACTTATCACCAAAGTTAGTGGATGGTATAAATCCTCCAAAGCTAAGGTGATATTTAATTTGTTGCTTTCTATTGCGTGTTCTTACATTATTCCTTTTTGTTCCTTTGATTGGCTTGAATAGTTATTTCTCCGATACGCACTATGATATTTTCTCCGATACACACTATGATATTTTTTCAAGGATCATTTATTTTCGTTTGCTCTATAATTGATCTACTCTTGCAGAAGAGTGTTTTTTTTTCAATAAAAATCTTACATATCTTGCTTGCTGATTTTACATAAATTTGTCGTCTTGCTTAGCTTATTATCTTTTTTAGGCAAGATTTATTTTGTTTCCTGTCTAGCCATATTTTATATAATTCTTTTCCTTGTGATTAATAGGCATGCCTTATTGCGGATGTTGTGCAACATTTTGTTGATGCTAAACTGGAATTTGATGCTTGCTACATCTACCAAGATGTGAACCGTGCAATTCAGTATGTTCACCGAAGTGGCCTGGCCCATAGAGAAATAATATCCGATCCACATGCCTACCTAGTAAACAATGTTAGTCTGATTGATTTTGAATCTAGTTGTTATTCCCATTCTTAAGTTTTGAATCCTCAATCAACATTGACTGCTTCTAGTTGAATTGATAATATTTTCAAGCATCTGTTTTTATTACACGCAAATCTTGTTTCTAAGAGTTATTTTTTCTCAAGTTTTGTGGCTGAATGTTACAGGGGAGACTATTACAATTTCTCACGATGCTGAAGGAGAAGGGGAAGAAACTTTTTTTGCTGACCAACTCCCCATATTACTTTGTGGATGGTGGAATGCGTTTTATGTTGGAGGTAAACTAATTTAAGAGTATCATACAAGAAGATATAGAACTTACTTTGTACTTAAACAAATAGATGTAGATGTAAATAAACGACCACATTTTCCATGACTGAATTGCTACACTGAAGTCTATAAGGGATGATCCACTGCAACGAATGTCTTATTTATTACTATTTAAAAATTATGTTTGACACGGGAGAGATGTAGAATTGAGAAATCAGAGAGAAGGATAATGGGAGAATATGGGAGAAAGAGAGGAACTGAATGGCGAGTCAGAAAAACAAGCTGATTGGAGATTTTTGTTTCGTTTTCTTTTTAACAGGAAATAGATCTTTATTTATGAGTGAAATGTTACAAAAAGAACACCACTTCACCAAGGGAGCTTACAATATTTTGTTTCAATTGGTATTAATTAAAAAATATTCTTATTACAAAGGGATTAGAAGAGTACACCAATGACAGCTAAGAATTTGAATTTCCTCCCAAAGTGCATCTCACTCTTTCAAACTATCTTGAGTGATTCTATCGTTATTTTTTAACCAACATTTGCTAAGAATAGCGTTCATAGCTCTGGACCAAAAGAACTTTAGCTCTATCTTTTAAAAAGGGCGCCACAAAGAAGAGCTACTTAAAGCACTAATGCGGGTGTTTAGGAAAGCACCAACCCAGCCCCAAAATGTCGAAAGCTCTTCCAGATTTTGCTGCTGTAAGAACAGTGAAAGAAATAATAATTACCATTTTCTGCATCACCTCACCTCTATATAAAGGGACACCGTTGAGGGGACAGGAGTAGGAATGTTGCTGGGTATCAGCTGAATAAGTCTCTCCAACACCAAGTCCAGCAGAAAAGTTCAGCTTTTGTAGGGGCTTTCCACTTCCAAACAGCCTAAACTATATGATAGGGACCCGAAATTGGAAGGGAAATTAGAGAAATATGTTGTTAACATTAGAAATATTGAAAGAGGAAAATTACAAAGGGTTACTAAGCATTTGAGAGCTTTAGTTCTCTCTCAAAATTAACCTTATCCAATCGATGAGGCTTGTTCCATTTGGCAAAATTGTGATATTCCTCACTCATATTTTAATTGTTCAGTATGTGTTGGGTCTTTGATTCAAGGGTGCCAGGAAGTTTGGACCAATTGATGAGTTGAAATACACTCATAGGAAAAATTTAATGGTTGAATTTGGTGAAGGCAAGTCTTTGGAAATTTCTGTTAGGTAGGATTTAGGTAAAGGAGAGTTTTTAAGGATAAATAGGGGTTGGGAGGAGACTTCTAAATTAGTCTAGATAATTTATTAAATTGATTTAAATGGAGTCTAGATTATTGATTTTAATTGATCTCCAAAGAGGGTTTGAGAGGATAACGCCTTTATGGGTCTAGATTATTGCTTTTAATTGGTGTCTACGAATAGGGCTTGGGAGGTTGAATCTGCTTTTAATCGGATCAGTCTAGATAAATCAGTGTCCAACTTTAATCCTTTTGTAATTAACAAATTTTTTATGGGTCTTTGGGGGAGGGATACATTTGTAAATATTGTTTCCTATTTTATTGAAATGTGTATGTTTCAAAATAATATTAACAATTTTTAGGTTCAAATATTATTTTGCTTTCTGTATTTTTTACTTTGGTTCACTTTGGTCCTTATACTTTTAAAATGTTCATTTTGGTATTTGTACTTTCAACTTTTGTTCATTTTAGTTCCTTGTTATTTCAAAATGTCCATTTTGGTTCTTGTATCTTAAAGTGACTCAAATTTGGTCCAATTTTCAAGATTGTAACACAAATTTTATACACAACTAATTGATGTAATATTGTAATAGTCATCTTCAGCTTAAAATTTTGGTTTGTTTTCAGGATTCTATGGGTTACAAGGACTCTTGGAGAGAAATCTTTGATGTTGTGATAGCTAAGGCCAATAAGCCAGAATTTTACACATCCGAGCATCCTTTTCGGTTAGTACAGTTGATCTAGTAATTGTTACGAAGCTTCTGAACATGTAAAGTGACAGTCAGAATCACATTTCATTTCTATAACCAATCTATAATATCATGAATGTTAAACGTCTTCACGACTGAATGAATAATTACCTACCATGTTTCTGTCTTGATTGCACATTATTGATGGGAGTAAACTTAAGATTGAAATTTGTCAAATTTAATCTTCCATAAGTGCAACTACTCATCCATCCAAAGGCAAACGAGGAGAAAATACTTCAAGATTATTGCTATTATGATTGTAATGCCGAGATATTATTGAACTTCCTCCCTGTGATAACTGCCAATAATCTATTATTATATTTCCTTCAGTCTATTGCATACAAGTTTTACCTTCCTATATTTCCAGGGAGAAATGGTAGACATGAAACTGACTTTTGTCTTCCTACTTGTTCTCTAAAATATCAATATTAGTTGTTATGACACAGAAAAGGACACTTTGACTTTTACAAAGGTGGATGCATTCCTTCCAAATAAAATTTATTACCATGGTTGCCTGAAGTCTTTCCTTCAGATTACCAAGTGGAATGGTCCCGAGGTAATTTGATGAAGCAATAACAGTGTTCTTTTGTTGTTATCTAGATGATATTGCTCTCACATGCTGTAGTCGGACTGAGCATCCTGTATTTGTTACTTTCGATCAGGTGATATACTTTGGGGATCACCTTTTCAGCGATCTGAGAGGCCCTTCAAAAGCTGGTTGGCGCACTGCTGCAATCATTTATGAACTGGAAGTATGCCTTTTTATCATTCTTTTGTAACTTGTTTGATAGCTTTTATTAAGTATTATGGGATGGTACCGAATGAACTTTTCTTCTATTTCTCTATGATCAACTCCTATTTACTGCCCATATACCACCAGTTATCTTACTGAACTTGGTTGTCTATACATTTTGTTTTCAGCCAACCATAAGTTATTATTGAGATCCGTTTAATATCTCACCTTTGTCTGATTTTGTGTTTGTATTGCAGAATGAAATACGTATACAAAATGAGGATTCCTACCGTTTTGAACAGGTATATTCTGCAATTGAGGCACTTCAATTACATTGTTATCCCAACCAAAAATTGACGTCATTGACGTTTTGATCATTCTAACTTTTTGTCGTTCACGTTTAAAACCCTTTAATACTTTCTTCTTTTCATATGGCAGGCAAAATTCCATATAGTCCAAGAACTTCTGGGTAAATTGCATGCTATTGTAGGTTGTGGCCGGAGAAGTGATGTATATAAATCTCTGTTGAAAGAACTGAGCGTGGAGAGGGAGAAAGCTCGAGATACAATGAAGAAAATGTTTAATAGATCATTTGGTGCAACTTTTCTCACGGATACTGGTCAAGAATCTGCCTTCGCCTATCACATCCATCAATATGCAGATGTTTATACTAGTAAGGCAGAAAATTTTTTATTCTATCCACCAGAGGCATGGCTTCACGTACCCTTCGATATCAAGATCATGCCACATCATGTGAAGGTAACCAAAGCCTTTCTTTGAAGTGTGCATCCTTTTCACTTTTCAGTCCACGAATTATAATGTCGTCGGAAAATGGGAATTAGCCTAACAATATGAATAGAGATAGAGAGGCTCAAATATACTCGTAACATAGCTTCTTCTCACAAGCAGTCACTTCAAACTATAATAAAATCACCAGCTTGGCAGCAGTAACCAATGAGATATGGGGATCTCTGATATGGACTAAGGACCTCATAAGAAATAGAACTCCTGAATTTCAGTTTCTTTTGTGCTTGTACCATCTAAATTCATTGCGACTCTATATATATTGTTCTGCATTAATATCTATATTCTTGAGTATTGGAGAGATAGTCAAGTTCATTTCAATTTTTGATTGAAACCAAAATTGGGTTTCGAATTTCAACTTTACATAATTGCCTTCATTCAGGTCCCATCAGGTCTTTTCAGAAACCAATAGCTGGTGGTTAGAGTACCTAAGGACGTGCGCAATAAAGAAGTTTTTCCATAGTTAGACACAGTGTGATTAACCACAGTGGATGCATAGTACTGCACCATGTTCATTTCATTATTTCATTGGCGCTTTCAGGCCACCCACCATGGACGATTGATATATCAAGGTGAAAGGAGGAAGTAAGTGCTCAGTACAATCATTTGATTCTTGACGGATTTTCCATTCTTTGGGTTCTCTTATCATTAATCAATAACTGTAACTACTAGTCTTGCTCGTTCATTTCAGATTCAATGGGCAAAATCCAAAGTTTAAAGTCTAATGATAGAAGGTACATAATAAAAAATTAAAAGTAACTCATCAAGTTTTGCCTGCCTTTTCTTTTCTTTTAGGCATGAGGAAATGGGAATCAATTTTTTCATTCTCTGTAACTATGATGATGTTTATCAAATTGTAGCAATGGAATCAAATGTTGGGACCCACCTCAAACTTGGTAATTTCATTCTCTTAAAAAAAAGTGTAATCTCATTACTCTTCTACGTCTTTATCAATATTACTGTCCTACATCCTCATCAATTTCGTTCCGATTTCTTGTTTTGTGGGTCTCATACATTTATATAATACTTATTAATTGTTTTAAATTTTTATAATTTCTTTTTCATTTATACTACTAATATTTTTTCTTCTAATAAAAACTTATACACCTTTTATTAGTTAATGTGATTTTATTAAAAAAATTTATAAATTTATATTTAATTATTAATATCAAAAATATAATTTGTTATTATTAAATATTAGGATAATGAAATTGAATAATATTTTATGTTAAATGATGGTTATCCTAATAAAAAGGTATTTTAGTTAGTGTCATTTTATTTAATTATTCATTATTCATTACTATTAAAAAAATTGCTAGATAAAAATTATTTACTATCAATAATATAGGAATAAATTAAATTAAAATTATTATTATTGTAATGAAAAATTAGTACAATAATATATCTCATGGGAATTCTGATTGTGATTCTAGAGAAGTTATGGTGAACAGGAAAGGAATAACATTTTCATTTTGATTAATTTGATTCCAATTAATTTCCAATGGAACAACGCCTTAAACCTAGCTTTTAAAGTGCTATGGATATTTTCTCTCGTTTTCTTGTGAATTGCATTTTTTCTGATAGTTTGGTTTTTTTTTTCTAAGACAAAAAGATTTGTATGATACGTGCTTTACTATCATGTGAAAAATCTCGACGGGTGTATCTGTCACGTTCGTGTACTTCGAGGTTTGGAATGGATAGCCCATATATGGCTACATTCAATTAATTAACCTTCACTTTATCTTTAAGTTTGATTAATGAAAACAAAACAAGAAGTCGATTAGCACATCTAATTAATAAAATATACCTCTTAATTAGTAGTCATATTGTGGCATCTACTTCCAATAATTTATTTCTCTCGAATTTGAGTTTTCTTTTTCCTAATTAGTTAAATTGTATTTTACAATTAAGATTTAGCTAGAAAACCTCTGTTGGGTGGATCAAACTCGAAGTCTAACGCTTTTGTGTCTAACGTTCTTGTGGTCACAATCTTGTATTTATTTACCCTAAAAAAATGCCAAAACCAGGGTCCACTGGTCCAATACCAATACCAGTTAGGTTTCATGCACACACCATCTCTCACACGTGTGATTCTGCAATAAAAGTGTATGGCAAATCTCAACCTTATTTTACTTCTTTCCATAAGAACGCCTTTGCCTATTCGCCCCATTCAATGAACAAAGGAGTAATGAATTCCAACTATCACGATGAGTAATTTTCAAGTCAATACAACACTTTATAAAAATATCAAATTCAGATGATAAAGTAAATAAACATCTTTTTTCTTTTCAGCCCAAACAACGGATAAATGCGTGATAAAGAAATTACCTATCTAATAATGATAAATGAATTTCTTCATTATAGGGTAGTCATACTGTGATTGTCACTTTAACAAAAATTCATGAGGTAAGAATGAAGATTTAAATCTCTAATATTTGAGTTAATATAAGCAAAACAAAGTAGTATTGTTTGTTTACCATATATTTGTTTGGTAGCAAATTTGAGAATGAAGAGTATTTAGCAATATATTTATAAACTATTAGTTACCAACTAAATTAATCTAAAATAATATTAATTAATTTATTAAAATTTTTGTCATAAATTTTGCATGACATTTCGATATGTCAATTAGCGTTAAGCTCGGCAAATTAAATTTCTACCTTACTAAGAAAGATTAATTGCATTTGAAAAAATCTCTAATATTTGTAAAAGTTATTTGAGAAATAAAATTAAAAATCCAAATTAAAGTTTGGAAAGTATCATCCTTAGCCTTGCCCATTTTCCACCATAAAACATTATTGAGATTGATTCCTATTCGCATTCGGGCGTACCAGACTTCCCCCTTCAAAGCATGTCTCAGAAATTGACAAATTGCATTTCTCCGATTTTTCACCATTATCTAATGCGAATGGCCGGAGAACACAGAGTTCAGCAGTAAATATAATATTTCTTTTTTCAGGTTCAGCAGAAAATAGTTCACCAAACCTCTCCCTGCCCCACCTTTCTCCATCTCTATAAAAATCATCCCCAAACCCGCAACACACAGACGAGTAAACAACAAATGGATCCTCAAAAGCCAACTCTTTGTGTTCTCGACGCTTCCACTTACGTGGGCTTTTGGGTCACCAAAGAATTGCTAAACAGAGGATACCCAGTTCATGCAGCCGTCCAGAACAGTGGCAAGCCATCCTCTGTTTTCTCTTTTCCAATTCTTCCCCTTTCTCTGTTCCTACATGAAACTTGTGGGTTTAATTAATTAATCTTTTGCAGGAAAATCAGAGATCGAGAAGACAATCAGAGAGATGGGTAAACTGGAGAATGGGCTGGTGGTTTTTCCCGTGGATATCATGGATTACCAGAGCATTCTTGTAGCCTTAAAGGGGTGCTCCGGTTTGTTCTGCTGTATGGACACACCCCAGGTGTATGATGTAAGTCCACAAAGAAAAACAAGGCCGATTGATGCTTAAAGCTCTCCAGAATTTGTGGGTTATTGTTCTTTTTATGTTTTGTGCAGGAAAAAATGGTGGATTTGGAGGTGAGAGGGACTATAAATGTTGTGGAGGCATGTGCTCAGACAGAAACCTTAAATAAGATTGTCTTCACCTCCTCCTTGACTGCTGCTGTGTGGAGGGAGAATATCCTTTCCGAGAAAGATGTGGATGAAAGATGCTGGAGTGACCAAGAATTTTGCAGGAAAATGAAGGTTGCTTTGCTTTGCTTTGCTTGGGAATTTCAATCAAAACTTCATATATCTTTTTTCGTGAGTTAGTAATTTTAGATTTCTTAGTGGGATTGTCTTAAAATTGGGCTATGTTCTTGAACAAAGCCTGATGATTGATTTACCCCATCAATCCTAATTGCATATTGAGCATTTTCTTTATCCAGTTGTGGTATCCTCTGGCTAAAACACTATCTGAACAAGCTGCCTGGGCTCTAGCAATGGACCGTATGCTGAAGATGGTCTCCATTAATGCTGGACTGGTTCTAGGTCCCGCTGTTGCTGAAGAAAATTCTGTATCAACAATCTCATATCTCAAAGGTAGAAACTGTACTAGAAGAAAATTCCTCAAACAATCCTCATCTGTGGGAGTTCCCCTTGTGTGTTTGCTAAAAGTTTAATTTTGAGATAACAGGAGCTGCCCAGATGTATGAAAATGGAGTTCTGGCAGTGGTTGATGTGAAGTTTCTAGTGGATGTTCATATCCGCGCAATGGAAGATTCCTCCACGTGTGGTCGATATTTTTGCTTTGATCAGATAGTGAACTCTGAGGAAGAAACTCTAAAACTTGCCAATACATTGAGGCCATTGATATCTCTTCCGTCAAGGTAAATCAGTCCTACACGCAGTTGATAATATATAATCTATAGTATTGGAGAAGTTTTCGTATTTTAAAAATGCAAAATTTAGTCTTTTTTTCATGCATTGTCATTGAACCCGCAGATACGAATGCCAAGGAAGGGAAGCTTTTGCTGAGAGACTCAGAACCAGGAGACTGCACAAACTGGTGGAAGCCACTGCTTATTAATTAATTGATGTAAAACTTCTGTTATTTTGTCATTTTTTTTCTTTTTAATTTTTACTTTTAGAGCAAAGAAAAACTACTGTGTAGAGCGTACTGTATTTGTAATCTAATAATTAAATAGTGAAATCTTGTATTTTCATTTACATGGAAAGAGGTTCAGGAAATGATCCGTAACTTTTTTGTCTCTCTTTTTTGTAAATAAAAAATATATAACTTATTTTTATCGTGAAACATATAATATCAAATGACATGATATCCGAAAAGAATTTTTTTTTATATCATAGATTATTTGTGTAGACTTAAATTTGGAGTCTACAGTATTATAAAAATGATAAAATTATAGTTCAAAACGCTAAAGCGATGCTAGTTCAGTTGTAATTTATATATATTAAATAATTGTGTTT